CGGCGGCGGGAAGCGGGGAGCGGCGCAACTCGATGCCGTCGCGGCTGCGCACCAAGTCGGTGAGCATGGGCGAGCGGCCGTCGCTGCCGTCGCAGTGGGGTGCAGCGCAGGCGGGCGAAGGAGGCAAGAAGGCGGTGCCTCGCGGCTTTGCGAATGCGCTGGGGAGTGCGAGCGCGGCGGCGGCAACGGCAGCGGCTTCACCCACAGCGGCGGTGTCGCCGACGCAGGCGATGAGCGCGTTGCCAGCGACGGTGGGAGGCACGGGCCATGGCGAGGAGATTGCGTGTCTGATCGCGGAGGACAACCCGATTGCGCTGCGGATGCTCGAGACGATCCTGGTCAAGTTGGGCTGCCGATGCGTGGCGGTGCGGGACGGGGCGGAGGCGGTGCGGCTGGCGATGGGCGAGTCGAAGTTTGGGGTAATGTTTATCGATGTGACGCTGCCGATCGTGGGCGGGCAGGACGTTACGCGGATGGTCAAGTCGACGCGCAACGTCAACTCGACGACGCCGATTGTGGCGCTGGCGTCTTTCGACCGGGGCGAGCCGGTGGATGCGGCGGGCTCGCTGTTTGACGCGGTGCTCGCCAAGCCGCTCGAGAAGATGGACGTGTGCGCGACGCTGTCGCAGCTCGGCTTTACGCCGACGCAGGGCGCAGCGGCGGCCGAGACGGGCAGTGGACAGGCGACGGGCGAGGCGTCGGGTGTCGTTTCAGGCACCGCGAGTGCCGGCCCAGACTCGCGGCCGCTGTCGAGAAAGTCGACGCTGGCGAGGAAGACGGCGGGGAGCGCGGCGAGGCCGAGTACGCCGCCGGCCACAGCAGCAGCAGCAGCAGCAGCGGGAGCAGGAGCAGGAGGGTCGGGGCACCACACGCCGTACTCGTCGTCGCCGCTGGGCAGCTCGGTGCTGAGCTCGCGGCTGATGGAAGCGACGGGCAAGGCAGGCAGGCATCCGTTGACGAGGAGGATGGGCGAGGAGGGCGGCGCCCGAGATCAAGACACGGCCGAGACGCTGAGCAAGGTGGCCGAGAGGTTGTCGCTCACGTAGCCCACGCGCGGTCCCGACACAGCAGAGAGGGGGTTCAAGGGTCTTGTTCTCTTTGTTCATCAATTGGTTCTGATTTTTCTTTGCATGCATAGCATTTCTCTTTGATGGTTTCTCATCGAGTGGGGTGGTGATGATGCAAGGAAGGATGGTGGGGGAGATGGAGGGCCCCGATGGAGGGCCCCGATGGAGTGTAGACCCGATATGGGCACGTGCGGGCTGGAGGAGGGAGGAGAGGATGATGACGTTTGGGCTTGGGCATCTCCGCATCTCCGCGAGCATCTCCGCTCCGCGTGGAGCCAAGAAAAGCAGGCTGCCTGAAAAAGGGCCGCTTCTTGAGACCCCAGGGCGTGTGCGTCTGGGGCGCTCCGCGGAACTTTTGCAAAACTGCCGCCTGGTCATGCGCACTTGGAGCGCAACACTTTTATGGTCGACATGCACTGTTATCTTTTGTATGCTGCAAAAACGTGTAGCAAACTGTCGTGAGCTCAGAAAGAGGGGATCTAGGATCCGATGCGACTGCTGCCGAGTGCAAGAGCGTCGGGCCGGAGCGAGGTGAAAAGAGTGAGGTCCGAGCGAGGGCAAAGGGACGCGCGCGCGCGGCTGGTCGGAGTTGACATTCGCGGCTCTCGGCTCTCGGCTCTTAGCTCTCTCTCCTCTCTCCTTCTCGAGCAGGGCTGCTGCTGGAGCGCGTGGGCTTTAGGTCTTGGGCTAAAATTAACGCAAAAAGGTCCGGCCGCACGCACGAGGAGGCGAAAAAGAAAGTTGAATTTGAAGATGTTTTTTTCGACCCACTTGTTGGGCGGCGCGTCGGCGGCGGCGGTGGTCTCGGCACCTTTGGGTCTCTTTCGCTCGGCTCGTGCAGCACCGCGTGCTTGGTTGCAACCCTAAGCAGTTGCAAGCCGTGCAAGCAGTGCACTCGACCAGCCAGCAGCCGAATCCAAAGCTGAAATCAATCATTTCACTCTCTCTCAACTCAATCCTCTTGGCACACCCACACCCGCACTGGCACACACTACTCGTCCTCCTCGACTTCTTCCCCCTCGTCCATCCCTTCAACATCACATCACGCAGGCGCAACGGGAGGAGAGAACACACGCATTCACCATCGTCCTCCACCGTCACCACCACCAGCCCATGCTGATCTCACGAGCATAGACCGCACACCTCCCACAGCAACCACTCGAAAGCTAGCACGCCACATGCCCGTTGATCTTCGTCTCGATCTCGTCCAGCTGGCATAGCCCTGCCTCGCTGCTCCATCGTACTTTGCTTTCCTCGCTCCCGGCACCGGCCTCCGGGCCGTCATCCAAAATCGCAGCGACCATGGCGTCCTTCCTATCGAGGCGCTTCTCCCACATCCTCCTCGTCCTCCTCGGACTCTTCCTCGCAGGCACCATCGTCGTCCTCACAACTGCCAACGCATACTTCTCCATCGACTCCTCCGCCTACATCCTCCCCGAAGAACTCGGCACGTGGCAGCAGATCCAGTCCGGCGACTCGCCAGACGGGCCCGACTCCTGGGCCGCACGCATCCCCTGGCTCGCCAAGCTCACCCAGTCTTCCTCCGCCACTTCCTCCCCCCCGACCAACACCCACAACAACACCATCGATCCCAACGACCCCGTCGCTCGCCCGCAGCCATGGCGCGACAACACGCCAAAACCCTGGGACGCCGCCAATCCGGCAGAAAAGATCCCACGCATCATCCACCAGACCTGGAAGGACCAGCATCTGCCGCCCCGCTGGCAGGCCATCCGTGACGAGTGCGAAAAGATGCACCCAGACTACGAATACATGCTCTGGACCGACGCCTCGTCGCGCAGCTTCATCGAACAGCACTACAACTGGTTCCTCCCCGTCTTTGACGCCTACCCGTACCCCATCCAGCGTGCCGACGCCATCCGCTACTTTGTCCTCCACCACTACGGCGGCATCTACATGGACCTCGACATCGGCTGCCTCCGCCGCTTCGACCCCCTCCTCCGCTTCGAGGTCATCCTCCCCAAGACCATCCCCGTCGGCGTCTCCAACGACGTCATGCTCGCAGCCAAGGCGCATCCCTTTATGGACCAGCTCATCCACAACCTCGTCAACTTCAACCACCAGTACCTCACCAACTACCCCACCGTCATGTTCTCCACGGGTCCCATGTTCGTCTCCGCCTCCTACGGCCTCTACGTCGACGTGCACGGGCCCGCCTTCCCATCGACGCCCAAGCAGCCCGACGCAGGCTTCAAGGGCGTCCGCGTGCTCCCCAAGTCGCTCTACGGCAAGAACGTCAAACCCATCGATGCGCCCGACGCCTTCTTCTCCCACTTTTACGGATCCAGCTGGCACGCCAACGACGCAGGCTTCCTCATCTTTTTGCGCAAGTACGGCCGCGTGCTCATCGTGCTCGGCCTCGGCGTCGTCCTCTACGGCTTCTTCCGCACGCTCCTCCCCTCCTTCCTCTGGCGCGTCGGCAGTCGCGCCGGATTCGGCCGCGGCGGCAGCCGCACAAGCCGCCGCGGTCAGCGCGAGCAGGGACGCTGGATCAGCCTGCCCATCGGCACGTCGTCCCGCGCGCTCTCGCGGCGCAGGTCCAAGCGAAGGTCGACCACCGACGAGGACCGCGCGGTGCTGCTCGACGACATGGACCGCAACGACGTTGGCAGCACCTCGGCCGCCAATCCGAGCCGGCTCTCGATGCCCGCGCCGCGCCCGACGCGCCTCAGTCTGCCGCTGTTTCAGCTGCAGGACTCGGAGCCGCGCGACCCCGCACCGCAGTCGGTGCTGGCGTGGATGGGGCAGACGCTCTCGCGGCCGTCGTCGCGCGGCGATGCGATCGGCGAGATGGAGGCGAGCCGCGCCACCGCCGACAGCCCCTCCAAGAAGAAAGGCGTGCTCTATCTGCCGGCGTACTTTGTGCGCGGCGACGATGGTGCCAGCAGCACCGAGTCGCAGCAGCTGAGTCCCAGCAGCAGCGCCAGCTCGCAGCAGCTGGCGGCGGCGCATGCGCACAGCCCGCTCTCGCAGGGCAGCTTTGGTCCCAGCACCGCGGCCACCGCAGCGTCCGCGCAGAGTCTGGGGCAGTGGGCGCACAATCTGCTCCCCGCAGGGTGGCGCGGCCCGAGCCCGGCACCGAGTCATACGAGCCGACGCAGCAGGTTGAGTCAGGATGTGGATCTCGAGAGCCTGGGCAGCAGGGGCAGCCAGGATGCCGACGAGGATTGGAAGGGCCGCGCGGATGCACAGCCGCTGCTGGACAGGGAGGGTGCCAGGTCCGCACCGCCGCCGTACGAGAGCCCGTATGCGGAGAACAAGGCGGATGAGAATGCCTAGTGCCCCCTCCCAGCCCCGAGCGCGAGTGCGCGGCGTAATGTCATGATTGTTTTCGAGGATACAGGGCGGCCGGGTTGGCTGTGAGAATGTGACAGAGCGAGTGGGAGGGTGAGGAGATGGGGGGTGCGATTGGCGTGTGCGTTTGAGCGTTTGGTTGGGAGCGTGTCTGGGGGATTGAGCAAGAGGGTATGGAGGCAAGGAGCACACACGAGGCTTGGTTTGAACAGAGTGGAGATGAGGTCTTGTAGCTTTTTGGTCATGGGGAGAGATTCTATTGCAGGTTTCGGATTCGAGACAGTGTGTGTGCACGGGAGTTATGCGGGGTCGGGGTGGGTGAGGTGTTGCATGATCAACTCGTACGTCAGAATTGTCAAGGCCGAGCTTGGGACTGTGCGGACGAGGTTGACGGTCATGCCCTTGTAGAATCCCCTGACGCCTTCGTCGCGCGCGATGGTTTTGCACGCTTGCCATACGCCCGAGTAGGTTCTTCCCTCGCCCCTCGGTTGCATTTGCAACCTGGTGCGCAGCACTTCGTGCGGGTACGTTGTAACGCTCGCGATCATCTTGGCGCTACTACTGCAGGTCAAAATCTCGGCGGCCGTCAAGTCGTCCCTCCCCACTCGATCCCGTGCGAGGCTTTTGAAGCTTTCGTACAGCGGAAACTGCACCGCCACATGAGAGACACCCAGCAGACTTGGGAGAAGTCCTTTGTAGAACCCACGTAGGCCTTCCGAGCGATAGATCTGCACGAATGCATCGGCGGTGTGACGGTATCGCTGAACCGAAGAGCGGGAGGATTGCAACATGAAGCGTGTCTTGACCACCCATAGTGGAGATGTGCATACGGTGCTGGCAGCTCCAGCTGTCATGGCCGACACAATGTGGTTCACAAAGTCTTCCTCCCCAGATCCGGCCACGTCGCGCGCCAGGATCGTCTTGCACGAATCGTACACGCTAAAGTAAATCGCCCACGTGGGCAAGTATCCAAAGATCGTCGGTCCCAATCCGCGGTAGAATCCACGAATGCCATCATCCGCCCAGATCTTACGAAGCGTCCCGCGCAGGCCCAAGTATCGTTGCGCCTCCACCGAAGGTATTGCTGCGACGTCGGCTATTGGTGCAGAGACGGCCGTGGGTCGACGCCGACCTTCTTGTGCCTGGAGTCGTGTCTTGACTACATCCAGCGGACACGTGAGCACGCTCGAGACGAGGCCTGCGCATGCACCGGCAATCGCTGACGAGTGCATCCTCGCACACGCCTTGGCCGCAGCCCGCTGTAAGGGGGTGGCGACGATCGAGCCAGGCCGCTGCTCGAAGCTGCAGTCCACGGAAAGGCGCAGTGCACTACGCTAGCATCGGCCAAACCCAATGCTGCGCGTGCGCCTATGCGAGGCGCAGAGACGAGTGAAGAGCAGCGCACCAAGTGTGCGACCACTAGCACAGCGCTTGTCGGATGCCGACGAGTGAGCAGATCAATTGCGACACGGGCGTTGACTGGGCAGGTGAAACTCGATCAGACTTGAATCCTGCCCTGAGTGGCGACGTAGAGAGAGGGGGGGGGTCAAGTCGTCGCAAGGGCTTGAGTGGGTATGTGTGGATGTGCGTGCCGGAGTCGAGCACGTCGTTTGGCGGCGAAGAGAGTGATGGATGGCCGGGGAAGGGCAAGCGATAATGAATCGGTGGTGGTGGAGGTTGGGCGACGCCGACCTCTGCCGGCGTCCGTCTGACTGCCGCTGCTGCATGAGCCTCAGCACTGTGCATCTCCGCCTCCGCTCGACCTTGGGCCTCTCTCGCACGTCCATCATCACGCGCGAGATAACCCCAGAAATTCCTTCAGAATGTTCACTTTCTCACTTTCTCACAGCCAACACGTTCAATTCCAAATAATTGTATTTCCACGCAAAGATGTGCGCACAGCTGCCACTTAGTGCAGCGTGGCGCCGGCGTCGCGGATGACCTTTGCGAGGCCCAGCAGCTCTTCGTCTTGCAAGCGCTTGCCCACCACCTGCAGATTGATCGGCATCCCCGCCCATCGCTCCGGATCGTCTACACAGCCAAAAGAAGAACAAGAATATCGGTCAGCTATGAGCAAAAGGGAAAGAGTCGGAGCGGTGCGAGCACTCACATCGGTCCCAGTACTCCTGGTCGGCGTTGTCGGGGAGGCCGGTATATGGCTTGTCGAGCGCCGTCTTGGGGTCCTTGGCTGGATCGACAAATCCAACGGGGAACACGACACACGGACGGTCCAGCAAGCTGTATGTGTGCAAAAGCAACGGTCAGCCCATCGAACTGAGTTACACGTTGGAGCCGTAGGCAACTTACTTCCACTGCGTCGTGTACGAAACATGGTCGTTGGTATCGTGTGGGCAGCTCGCCCAGTTGCTCACGGGCGCGATGATGGCGTCCACCGGCCTTCCTGTACCCGTCTTATCCTTCGTCGCCTGCCAGTAGTCGAGGTACTCCTTGCGGTACGCGCTCTTTTCGCGGTTCACCTGCCACGACTCGTACGTCGACAGATGCTTGGCCTCCTTGCCGTCCGCCATGAGGTTGTACATGACCGGTTCGCCGCCCTGCTCGCAGCTTCGACGGATGTCTTCGCCACCGTCTGCGCTGTAGATGCGGCCGATGATGTCGTACGCGCGCAGATGGTCGTACGGTACCCAGTCGATCACCTTGTGTCCGGCCGCCTCGAGCTTTGCCTTGGTCTCGCGCAGCGCGCGCGTGATGGGCGGATGCGGGTGCACGATCCCGTCGTCCCACTCGATCGCAAAGCACAACTGCGTCTTTCCAGCCGCATAGGACTCGGTGGGCTCGGAACTGCCCTTCTTGAGCTGCAGGTCCTTGAGCGCATAGGCATCTTCGTTGAACGGCATCGAGACGAGGATCGGGTCCAGCTCCCACGGTCGTTCGCCCAGCACGGCGCGCATGAACGTCACGACGCCCTCGAGCGAGTGTGTGAGCGGTCCGATGACAGAACTGACGCTCTCCTGGCCGAGAAAGCTGTTGGCTGCCCCCTGATAGGGCGTACGATGCATCGATGGACGCATGCCCCACAGCCCGTTGAACGCCGAAGGCACACGCACCGACCCGCCAATGTCCGTGCCCAGGCCGAGTGGGCTGCCGTGCATGCCGACGAGTGCGCCCTCGCCACCGCTGCTTCCGCCGGGCGTGAAGCTGCGGTTGAACGGGCTGACGGTGCGTCCGTAGATGTGGTTGTGCGTCTCGCACCGCATCAGGCTCTGTGGGATCGAGGTGCGCACATACGGCACACCGCCCGCACGCAGAATCACGTCCGTGATCACGCTGTTGCTCTTGGCCACGCGCCCGATCCACCCGACATAGCCCATGGTCATCTCGGTGTCCTTGATGTCGAACTGGTCCTTGAGCGAGACGGGCAAACCGTGCAGCAGGCCGATCGGCTTGCCCGTCGAAGCGAGGGTGTCATCACACTCCTTGGCCCGCGCGAGCGCACGATCGACAAAGATGTCCGTGCAGCAGTTGGTGAGTTGGTGCGCCAGCACTGCCCGACGCAGGAAGGCCTCGGTGGTGCGAACCGAGGAGAGCTTGCCCGTGCGCAGCAGATCCAGCAGCTTGTCGATCGGCGTCTCGGTGATCGCCACGTCCTCGAGCGAGAGCACCTTGCCAGGTACGCCCATGACATTGTCCGTCGGGTAGATCGTAGTTGGCTCCGGCATGTGCGGCTTGCTCTTGCTGAACGGCAGCGGCAGCTTCTCGTCCGGCAAAGGCGCCACACCGGCAGCACTGAGATCGGCGAGGTAGCTCGCAGGGATCGACGCATCCCGCTTGGCTCGATGTGCCTTGCTCTTCGCAATGTAGTCTCCCATGGTTGTCGTGACTTTCGTTCTTCGAGGTAGTAGCTTATGGTAGATAGTAGCTTATGGTAGAGTAGAAAGGCAAAGTATCGGATGGGGCGGGTGGACGGCTATATATCCAGACCTGGCGAGGCGGGCGATAAGGTGCCGCATCCATGCAAGGCTGCATTGACAGCTGGCCCGTGTCCCACCACCGCCGACCGGAAAGACTGTTCGCACTCCACCTCACCCGCCTGCCGCTCGGGGAAAAACGTACTCCTCTGCTCGCGGCTACTGGCACGCACGTCTTGTGTGCATGTCCGTGCGGGTTGCGAGCCATGCTGCCTGTCACGAGGTCGTGGGCATGCACATCAGCTCACGTGGCGTACAAAGCTGTCGCCATGGGCGATTTCCCCGCCCACCATGCTCTCCCTCACCAGCCTGTCGGCAATCGAGGGCGGTTACGTATGGCGGGCTTGCAAGCGAGCATAGCCGTGGAGGACCCAGCTCGGCGCATTGGCCGGCAATCAATTTCTTCCTCCTCTGGCGCGTCGCTCCACCCCGGCGCTTATCTCGTAACCAGCCGCCAAGCAAGCCTCGCTCCGACCACTCATGCACTCACAATCGTGGCGGCGGGTCACCTGTTCAGCCAATGCCCTGCCTCGATGCAAGGCCCGATTCCACCCGCTCACAATCTGATATCGGGCACACTGCGCGCAAATGAAGCCAGGGGCGATTCGGCATCTCTGTGATTCGCAACGAGGTACGGGTGACAATATTGTACACGCTCGGTGCGCTTGGAGGTTGAATGGGCGAAGAAAGAGGAAAAGAGGCACAAAGGGGGAGAAAGTTGGCTGTGGAAGCCGGTCTCGACGGTCAAGAGCGGAAATGAGGATGAAGGGAAGGCGGTTTGGAAGGCGTCGGCACTTTCCAAAGCGTCTGTGCGCAACGAGCAGGGAACAAGTCCACTGCTCGCATGCAAGCGGAATCGCTTAGTAGACAAAGGGGATGAAGGCGTACTTGACGATGGTGCAGTACTTCTCCCAGTCCTTGCCGTACTTGCGGCCGCATCGCTCAAAGTCGCGTCCGCAGCGGTGGGTGAGCACGGCGAGGAAGAAGACCGAGTAGTAGTAGGGGATGATGGAGCGCGTGCCTGCGATGGCGCCCCACAGGAACGCCTGGGTCCAGTCGGCCGTGTAGTTGGGCTTGCGCAGGAACTGCCACCAGCCGTCGATGAGCAGCGCGTTGCCGTGCTCGGTCTGAAGGTAGCGCGGGTCCTTGAGCGTCGACCACGGCCACTGCGGGAACGTCCATCGGTGCTTGAACGTGCCCTGCAGCTGCATGCGGAAGCGCGACTTTTGCGCCATCGACGAGTCGAACACGTAGTGCGCGAAGAGCAGCAGCGAAAACATGAACACGTACGTGGGCGTGCTGAACTTGTAGTACGACGGCGGGTGCGCAGCCATGTACACGATGCTGTAGCAGTACGTGAAGGGCACGCCGGCAAAGTTCCAAAAGATGACCATGAAGCCCCACTTTTCGTGGAACATGTCCCAGGTCTGCGGGATGCACTCCTCGCCCTTGCCGCACGCGTTGATGTAGAGGCCCGTGGCGAGCACCATGAACGCCATGTTGGGCGTCACGTAGCCGTACACCTCGTACTGCTTGCACGCGCCGGACACGCTGATGAGGAAGAGCAGCACCCACGGGATGCGCACCTCGGCCCACATCTTGAGGTCGACCGAGCCGATGCGCGGGTTGAGCGCGGCGCCCATGAAAAAGTCGTACGCAAAGTTGCCCGACATGCGGTGCGTCGTGTTGGTGGCGACGGCGTGGAAGTAGGTGGCGGCGCTGACGGCGTAGCCGGCGATCATGCTCACCGTCATGTACTCGCCAAAGTGCTCGATGATGGTGGTGAGGCGGTAGACGCCGCTCACGTGGAGCACGGCGCAGGTGACGAGCGTGGCGTAGAAGGACGAGAGAGCGTTACACTTGTACATGAGCGTCTTGTAGCCGAGCGAAGGCACGGGCAGACCCTCCTGCATGTATCCGGGCATGACGACGGCGAGGAGGAACTGGAAGACCATCAGGCCACCGTAGCCGGCAAAGGCGCGCTTGGTGGGGAAGGCATCGTCGCGGACGTGTGCGCCCATGCGCTGGACGAAAGGCCAGATGTCGTCGAGCGAGTTGGGCACGACGAGCTTGCCGTCGTAGAACCACAGGCAGATCCAGAGGTAGTACATGAGTAGCGGGAAGAGCGTCATCATGGCGGTGACACCCCAGGGCCCGCCGAACTCCCAGTCCGAGTGCTCGTCGAGCTTCTTGTCGGTCTCGCGGCCCTGCTCGGAAATGACGATGCCGGGCGTGTACTTGACGAGCGTCTGCTGCTTGCCGCCGCCCATGATCTGGTCGTCGTTGAGGTCGACGTGCAGATACGAATGCTTGGGCGTGTAGTTGGCCTTGTCGTCGTCGCTCTCGTCCTGGACGACGGTGCGCTTCTTGGGGGTGGGCTTGGACTTGCCGTTGGGCGTGGCGCTCGCCTTGGCGGCGGCGCTCCGGGTGCGGAGACCAGCTGAGTCGGCCATGGTCGGATCAGCGGATTGGTTGGCAAAACAGATGATGGGGCCAAGAAGCAAAAGCGGATGTCGCGAAGTGCGTGCGTTCAAGGCCGGAGGCTAGCTCTCTCCGCCGGGGCGCGCCGCCAGCTGGAAGACACGTCTCTGTCCGGCGCACGATGCAGATCCATCCCGAGCGAGCCACACAGGCCAGGCAGCAGCAGAGCGCAACAACACGCAGAACCACGACGCGAAGAAATGACTGAATGGCAGGCGGAGTTTTTTTGGCGCTGCAATTCATGTTCAAAAGTGTTGGGTTTTGCGAAAGCAGCAGCACACGGCCGACGGCTGAGAAGAAAAATAGCGGAAGAGTCGAAGCTGAGCGAGAGCTGCCTAGATAGCCGAGCCACAGTGGCACTTTTTCTCTTTTTCCGGAAGCTGTCGCCCGCGGTGCGAAGAAGCGTGTGGCAGGTCCGCAAAATGGGCTGATCATGAAGCCCTTGCAGCTGCCAACGCGATTCGGGCGAGTGGACCTGCACGTCAAGCGGCTAAAGCCGAAGGAAAGGAGCGCGTTCCGGGGGGCGGTAACGGCACTTGCAAGGGCAGGCTGCTCGACATCAGCCAAGGATCACAGTAGGCGATTCAGATGGTGTCTGTCCGGCAGCGCTCTTGGACAGGCCGATTTGATGGCATGGGCGTGGCGATATGAAGCGCCGGAACGTGAAGAAACAATGGCCGTGTGGATCGCCGTCCATGCCGCCATCGCCACCACCTCACGTGTCCGAGATGAGATGAGGTCCAACAGAAGCCCGGTGAGGCAGACAAGACACGAAGCTTCGATATCGGGTCGACCGTGTATGAACGCATCGGCGATGCAACATTGGCGGTTATCACGAATCCCCCGGTTCATACCCCTTGCACCTCAGCATCGCATACTATCGGTGGCCTTGGAATGCATGCAGAAGCGGCGTTGTTGCCAAGAAGCCTTGTGGCTCTGTCGCGTCGGCTCGTCCGGTCGCTCGCTGGCGTTGGCTGGCGTGGCGCCTCCTCATTCCGCGGGGCCTTTGCGGCACGCGGGGGTGGTGTGGACAAAGGGCGAGGCAGTGCCTGCGTGCAGGCAGAGTGTGGGTGCCAAGCACGCGGCACCGCCGCTCGATGAGATCCAATCTGGCAGGTGGGGGGCCAGGAGGGAATTTTGGACACAAAATTCCAACTTGGCAGCGAGAGAGGTGCGGCGCGAGGGTGTGTTGCTCCGAAGCGTGATGCTCTGCTTGCTGATCTCGACGCGCCTCGGCATGTTTTGCTGCGACCGGCGCCTCTCGCCTCCACCCGGGCGGCCTGCCGTGGGAAAGCGAGCTGCTCGACGACCTGCCGGGCCGGACCCTGGATGCCGAAAACAGGAGCGGCTGAGCATCTTGGCTCGTCATGGGAGGCGTGCAGCGTAAGCATCGGCACGGCCGGGAGCGGCTCTGGCCATCGCGTTGCCATCGCGATGCTCGCTCGAGTCGATAGCTGCATCGGTCACGCTCCGAGGCTGGCTGTATGGCAGTGCCGGTATCATTTCCCCCAGTCCGGCAAGCCCACCCGCTCAGAGCCAGGTGGGAAAATCCGATGCAAAGGTGGGGTGGACTGTAAGCCAATGCTGCCGCCGAAAGGCGAGCTTTCTTCTGTCGATCTTGGCATTCCACTTTCGGCCACGCCGGCGACGGATTTCAAGTCAGCGCCCAAAGATTGCGCTCTCCTTCCACTCTGCTGTCTCCCTCTTCTCCACCCTTGCCGCCGGATCCCTTGGCTGCCGCGCATCCTCCTGCTTGTCATCGTCTCTGCCCCGGTGTGTCCCTTCAGCAACTCTTTCATTCCGGTCATTGTCAGCCGAACTCGCCGCTGCCGACTTGCACGTTCAGTCGGCATCACCCGCGCGCGCTTGGGGCCGCCCTCTCCACTGCGCCGGGCTGCTACAATAGCGCTGCCAAGCCTCTAGCCCGTTCCTTGCATCGCTCTCGAGCCTCGCCATCCTCGTGCCCAGCGCCTCTGCCTCCACGCCTCCGCCATCGCTTCCACGCTCTACTCGGCGACACACTCGGCAAGGTCACTTGGCTGCCTCTTCCTTGACGCAGCTCCACAGCCCCGACCTTGACGACCACCACCACCATCATCCAGGCGCATTCATCACCATCCGGCCATCATTTCAACAGCATCCTGCTTCACGGCCCGCCTGACGAACTCTCACGACTTTCTCGACCGCCATCCTGCTCCTCGGGCCCACGCCGCTAGCTGGACTTCACTGCACAAACCCATCTCCGACGCACTTCGATGCCTGTGGCAGCCGTGGGCCTTCTGGTCGTGCTCTCCGTGGAGAGTTTCAAGGCATCCTCGCGCTTCTTCCAGCGGCGCAAGTCGAAGAAGCATGGCTACTCGTCGCTGCGCACCGACAGCCTTGGGCGGCCCATCAGCGAGGACGGCAAGCGGCTGAGCAAGAACGAGGCCAAGGCGCTCGTGGCGCACAACCGCGAGATCCAGCGCATCCGCACCGCCGAGCGCGAATGGCGCGCCAAGGGCGAGCGCCTCCCGGCGTATGCCGAGATGGATGACGACGCCATCATCCAGTCGCTTCGCAGACCCAGCACGGCTCCGGCATCGGGCAGGAGCTCATCGTCACCGTCGGTGCTCACAGTCGCAGCGGCCAGTCCGACCGAAGGTGTAGGAGCGGGGCCGGTGCGACCAAGAGCCGTGAGCACAACGTCGGCGGGGCTGGAAACCCCGGCGAGCGGCGTGCGCGCCCAACGCGAGGCGAGGAGCGACGACCTCGCCGTATCCACGTTCGAGTCGCTCGACGGCGGAGCGTTTTCCATCCGCCGAAGAAGAACGCAGACACTGGTTCTCCCCACCATCCCCAGCTCCGAATCGCCCGAGATCGAAGACATCTTTCAGCACGACGGCCTCGATTGGAGACGCACCACCTGGGAAGCTCCTCCGATCTACGACCAAGTGCGCGCCTAGTCCCCTCTTCCTTGCTTCACCTCGTCGGTTTCCCTGTTCTATTGTTGTTTTGTTCTTTGCATTGTACCTGTACTTTTAGTCGTTTTGAATTGCGCATCTCTCCTCACCACTTTGTCGCCACCTTGTACGGATGTGGCACTGCACAGGCTGAGCGACACTCGACACAGAAGCACGATTTCTCACCACAGCTTGTCCGTCTCAGCAGCGCGGTACTGAGGCATGCCTGCGGTCATCATGACCAAACCTGGACGGACTGGTTTGTGTCTAGTTTAGACTGGCTTGATGGATGATGGATGATGGATCTCGGGAAAGAAATGCATTGAGAGGGTTTTTGAGATGGTGGATGATTTTTGAAGCCCCCCTAACCACACTCGTGGTGCGCCCTGTCTTACGATTGACTGGATGTCGCGACCCGAGTGGGACCAAAGGTGCCGAAGGGTGTGAGTGTGTGTGGTGTTACAGCGGCTCCAGATGAACCGGTAGGATGTGCGTCATGCTTTTTGGATCACGCACGGTTGGATGGTGGGGCGTAAAGAGGGCGAGAGTCGACAAACACACTTATGCCTCGGCACGAGCGGCCTTGAGGGCCTTCTCGGTGCCGTGCTTGGCGTAGCGCTGGTTGCGGACGAACTTGGGGTCGACACCGCGCAGCGACGGGTACTTGTTGGTCTTGGGCTTCTTGATGCCGTTGCGGTGGGCCTTGCGCACCTGGTTGTGCTGGGACGAGTTCTTCGACTTAGCCCTGCACAGCGCGAACGTCGGATTTAGCAGGAACAATTCCAAGTGATGATGCACAAGTGAAAGTCGAGAGAGATGCAGAAGAATCGAGTGGTGATGGATGGACGTAGTCGATAGTTGGTATGAGATGTCGTAATGCAGATTGGGTGGTCGATAGGTGAGACGTCGATGCAGGCATTCAAAGTGATCGCAGAAGTCGTAGGTGGTGAGTTGGATGGGAAGAGAGGATCATGATGGCAAGGTCAGTATTCCGATGGCTGGACGTGTACATGCTTTCCAACGATTGTCTGGCGCGAACCGCCGCGATGAGCCATGCAAAGCAACCGTGCCCTGCTTGCGCTGCAAATTCGCATGAAATGAAGCGAGGCTGTAGGATGCGTTCTGCTTGGTGCGGCGTGTGGTGACGTGGTCGTTGGCGCGAGCGCGATGACTTACATCTTGACGGTATATACGGGTTGGGTACAGAGACTTGGTGGTGAGGAAGGCGGAGCGCTGATGGCGCCGACGTTCTTGGGCGGGGCCTGGCTCTCTGCACTCTGCACTCTTCGCTGCCCGAAGACTGGGCTGAAGGGGCCGAAATTCTCAACTGGCCCGCCTGGCCTCTCTGGGCTGCCCACAGCGGCCCATTTCCCAGCGCAGTCAGAGTGTGTGAGGCCTGCCGCCTTGGCCTGACTTGGATCGCGGCGGCGGGCAGACTTGCCAGTGGTCGGCGGGTGCTCCGCTGGACTTGTCGCATCCGAGAAAAAGTTGCTGCGGCAATTCCATCGATTCGAGGCTGGATGACAGTCGATTTGTCACACAAGTTTTTGTTGAAACCCATATGTCGGCTATCTTCGCTCAAACATCTTTCTGTAAAATTCAAACGCCTGGCTCGACATCATCACGCAGGCCGCCAGCGCCAGTTGACCGGTCCACTCTGCATGCCGCAACCACACGGCCCGGTCTACCGAGTTCAGAACAAGCTCGCCTAGCACTTTGCAAGACATTCGACGAAGGCTTGCATTGCAGCATGCTCGGAGAGATCTCGGCCGCCGACCTTGTTTGGACCAACGTCGCCGGTGAGCCAAGCCAAGCAAAGCCAGTCAAGGAACTGGCATGCGCGGATGCGGTGGTGGTGGTGGGGTGCCCCTTTTTTTCCGTTTCGGGCAATTTTTGGACCGTTCGCAACTCCGCTCGCTTCCCCACGTCGGTTTGCGGGGGGCGATGAAGTGTCGATCCTCCTTTCGAGCCGCTCAGCCCCTCTTCGGAGAACCATGCCATCGGCTCTCTGCCTACCTCGCCTTGTGGGTTGCAACAATCCTAGCCGAACCTGGCATCTCGCTAGCCGAACACGGCCATCCTCTTGCACTGCGGGCGTCGGTCCGAGTCGGCCCTTGCTGCCCCGAGCCCAACTCCTCTTCATGAGGCAAAGGCCGCCACTTGGATCTCGTATATAGGCAGTCCTTCGCCCCCCGCCCGCTCCTCATTCGTCAACCAAAACCCTAAGCAAACACAAGAGCACCATGAGATTCGCATCGCTGGTGCCTTTTACGACGCTGGCGCTTTCCTTGGCGGGCGTGGCCTCCGCCGCCGCGCTGTACGATGGGAGCCAGCAGGCGTTCCTCAATACGCTCGCCTCGCGCAACGCCGACGGCCGCGCGACTGAAGACGCCTACGGCGACCCCGAGTACACCTGGCCGGAGCCCGATCCGACGCTGCCGCTCGACTCGCTGCCGGACGCGCGCCCCGCGGTGCACCAGCGTCGCTTCCGCTCGCGTTTGGTCGAGGCCGAGATCCGTCGCATCACCGACAAGATCGCCGACCCGGCGGTGAAGCGCATCTTTACCAACGCCTACCCGAACAGTCTGGACACCACCGTGGGCTGGACGGATCTGCAGCTCAACAACCCAGACTCGGCCACCGCCTTCCCGCGCGCATTCATCATCACGGGCGACATCCTCGCCGCGTGGCTGCGCGACTCGTCCAACCAGATCTTCACCTACCTTCCGCTCCTCCAGTCTCCGCCCGAGCCGTACGCGGTCGGGGACAAGGACTGGCTCAAGCTGTATCGGCTTGCACTCGGGCTGCTGTATCAGCAGTCGCAGCAGGTGATCACCTATCCACTCGCCAACTCTTTTGGTCCGCCCAAGTCGGCCACCATCACCAACAAGAAGAACCCGGCGGTGGGAGACGGAGACGATGCAGACTGGGTGCAACCGCCCGTACCCGGCAGCAAGGGACACTATTTGCCGCAGCCACCCAACAACTACACCAAGGTCGAGGGGAATGACGGCGTGTATCTGTGGGAGACCAAGTGGGAGGTCGACTCGCTCGCGGCGCATCTGCGCCTGCCGTCGCTGCTGGCCGAGTATGCCAACCGCACCGACTTTTTGGACAACGAGACGTGGCAGAGGGGCGTGAGGATGGCCATTGACACGCTGCGTGCTCAGCAGCGCGGCTCGCGCGAGGAACACGCGGCGTACGAGGCGTCCAACTCCACCACGCTGCTGCCGCCCAACATCACCGAGCGCAGCGAGTGGGCACAGCGTTTCGGTAGCGTCCAGGGCGGCGTGTACCGCTTCCAGCGCGAGGCGCGCTCGGCCACCGAGACCAAAGCCGATCTGGGCTGGGGCGAACCAGCTCGTCGCAACGGCTTGGTCAAGAGTGGCTTCCGACCCTCGGATGATGCCACTACCCTGCCGCATCTCATCCCTTCGAACGCGCAGCTTGCCGTGGCACTCGAAAAGCTCGCTCCGCTGCTGGACAATACGACGGCGATGAGCGATGTGGCTGCCAACGCGCGCTCGTTTGCCGCCGACATTCGCGCTGCCATTGCCCAGGAAGCCGTTCTTCCCAACCGCCTCGCCGGAGGCCAGGACATCTACGCGTTCGAAGTCGACGGCTACGGCAGCGCGTACTTTATGGACGATGCCAACGTGCCCTCGCTCCTCAGCCTGCCTTACCTCGGCTACGTCGATGCGAGCGATGAGACGTACCAGCGCACGCGCAGCTTCGTCCTCTCCCAGGACACGTCCAAGTGGTTCTACTCGGGTGCGGATTTCAGCGGCATTGGTGGGCCGCACGTCGGCACCAACTACGCCTGGCCAATGTCGCGCATCATGCAGATCCTCACCACCACCAACGCAGACGAACAGCTCCAGGCCCTCAGCCTCCTCCGCAACACCACCGCCGGCACAGGCCTCATCCACGAATCCATCAACGTCCACAATGCCACCGACTTCACCAGACCCTGGTTCGGCTGGGCAAACGGCCTCTTTGGCGAAGCCATCCGCCACATCGATCAGACGAACCCCGACCTCCTCCAGCACGCCTTCTAATATTAAAACCACACACCCAATGCACAATGAAACATCCTCTCTGAACATGGTGCGATTGCAAGCGATATTATCGTCCTCCTGAGCCAATTCAGCATGCATCGGACGTTGCTTGAACCGCGTCTGATGGCGGCTTGGTCGCGCCTGCGGGCTCGTTGGGCGAAAGCAGAAACTCGAGCAGTCGATCCGGTCCTTTGAGACGCATGAGCTCGCGAATCGCACGCAGCTGCTCGATCTCTCTGCGCTCGTCCGCATACTGGCCTGCAAGATGATACGCAGTGCGCAGTGCCGCCTGGGCCTCCGAGATGCCCTTGGGCTCCGTCTTGCCACTGCGCGCTACACCGTTGCTCTTGAGAATGATCTTCTTGACGCCCGTTGCCGGCGCAGCTGGCGAGCCTACCTGCGCTGACGCTGGCACTGCACCAGCAGCCGCCCCGGTGCGGACCGGCATGGGCGTGGTGCGCACCGCGGGCGAGGCTGAGCGCAGCTTTTTCGCCGGCGTATTCGGCGAAGCGGCCATGGCCGACTCGGCTGCCACTGCGGCCTTGCGCTTGCTCAGACGCACCGGATCGCCGCTGCTCACGCCCGACGCCGCCTCCATCGCGATGCGCTTGATCAGCTCCTCCTCCGACAGCCCAGGCTGCACGGGCTGCACAGGCTGGACGGGCTGGGCCGTCTGAGCTGGCTGCGACACCTGAGCAGGCTTGACAGGCGTGGCCACCTCTCGCTGAGCCGCATTCTGCGCCGCTGTCTCAGCGCCTGCGTCGCTCTCGCTGTCCGACAGGCTCGACAGCGGCGAGTCCGAGGACTCTAGGCTCTCGGGCTCTTTCAGCGACGAGCGCAAGCTCGACTCGGGTACGTCGCTGTTGTCCAAATAGATGCCCAATGCCGTTGCCATCAATTGGCGAGTCCGCGACGGTCGGATCAAGCCGGGCGTCTCCTTCACGGCAAGCGCATCTCCCGCCAGCCTCGCCGACGCAATATCAGCGAGCGAGTCGAGACCCGATCGCTGGTAGTCGCGTCGGCCAAACGGCCTGTATCTTGACACGTCCTCGCCCGTCAGCGCCGCTCCGTCCTCTGCCGCAACCAGCCGGAACGGCGATCGATGCACCAGTTCGTCCGCCGCGAGGTAAAAGACGCTTCCGATCTTGCTCGCATCGTCGCCGTGAAGCTTGGACCAAAAGTCGGTGCGGATCACCTTCTCCGGCAAACGGTAGCGGATTTTGGAGGCAAGCTTGGACCCACCATCGGTGAGTGTGGGTGAGTCCACCACGCCCGGGATCGGGATGAGAGGGATCTCCTTGATGCCCGTCTGCAGGCTGCCGGTGATGCCGTTGGCACCCATGAGCTCTTCCATCGGGTCGGGAATGATGTCGATGTCGCCGTTGTTGAGCACGCGCGTGCGGAAGTGCTTGCCTGGGCCGATGGTCTTGGCCGACGGCAGAGGCAGGTCGAGCGTCTTGGGCACAGCTGCGCCGATGCGCGCCACCCTTCGGCGCTCGCCGACGTGGTCGCTGTGTGCGGGGCACATCCACTTGCGCAGGTTGCTCGGCATGCCCAGCATGGGCGGGTCGACGCAGTCGATATGCCAGTGAAGCGAGCAAAAGTCGCAGCTCACAATCTTGCGCCAACCTGTCCCCTCGCGAATGGTGTGGTCCGCCGGTGACGCCGCCGAGGCGCTGCCTGCCTCCGAGACTGCGCGGCTGCGTCGCTCTGTGGAGCCGACGGATGCTGGATGCTGATCTGAAGCTGCGGGCAACGCTGTTCCGCCACATCGGTAGCAGAGCACAGCATCGCCGTTCTTGTCCTTGAGTCTGTACGGGTCGCGAGGCTCGATCTGCCCATGTCGATTCGGCTTGAACTGGCGGACCATCGCGGCGTTGACGTAATCGCCGTCGTTGGCGGTAGCGACATCCTTGAAGTTAGTGCGCACATCCGCCGGAAGCTGGAAGCTTTTTGGATTTTGCTGCGACAGAATCGGGAGCAAGTAGCCAAAGGGGCCCAAACCTTTGGGCCGGGACACAGCCTTGGGCTTGCGTTCGGCGACGCACACATTGCAGAACCACATCTCGTCCATGTTGAGATCGGAGCCCGCGCCAGGTTCGCCCGCCTTGGCTTTCCCCTTCTGGACCGGATTCGCCTTGGCCGGGCCCAGCACTTGCGCCGCATTCGATGGCGGCATCTCGTCAATGTCAAGAGGTGGATTCATGCAGAAAAAGTGGAAGCTGCGCGGGCAGCCGTCGCAGCAGACAAAGCGGCCGTGACCGAGGCAGACCTCGCAGAAGTCGTTATTGGCACTGCCCTTGTCCTCGAGCCTGGGAGCCAATTGAACATCCGTAGAGCTGGAGCTCGAGGCTGTTGGCACAACAGCACCGGCAATGCCTGGAATGACACGGAGACGTCCTTCCGGGGTATGCATCATACCTGGCGGCGGCTCGACCAAGGACGGAGGCACGATTGTACGTGCCGCAGTGTTACTCTTCTTGCTCGCCCCTGCCGAGGGCACGGCGTGAGGTGCAGACGCAGCGCCAGCGCTAGCCGCCGAAGGCGACCTACGAGCACGCGCGGCTTCCTGTGCCAGCAGTTCGCGATGCTTTTTGAGGCCCATGGGATCTGCGTACGCGCTAGTGATGGACTGCGATGCTTGTAAGGAAGCGCCGCGATTGGATGGCGTGCGACGAAGAGCGGCGGACGGAGATGCGTCGACACTCTCCAGCGTATCCGCGGACAGTGTCGGTGGAGCCGCTTGCTGTGGAACTACCGACGAGGGCGCTATACTCGCGGACTCCGATCCGGTCGCGGTCGATGGCTGGGCCGGCTCGCCGATTTCGGTAGCGGCAACTTGGGCACCGGTCTCCGGAACTGCTGATGCTTCCCGACTAGTCTCTCGTGTGCCCGTCGCAGTCGCGACAGAGTCGGCGTCCGTCAATACGTCGGCGATGAGCGGATCGATGGCTTTGTTGTCTAGCGAAGGTGACGATTCCGCTTTGCCGCTCGGCTGCTGGCCAGCCGCCGCAGCATCGTCTGCCGTGGATTCCCTGCGAGAAGCAAAGCCGAAGTCAATCGAGGTAAAATATCAGTACTCGGCCTCGGACGGATAAGCTGAAAACGGGCTGACGAAAGTCGACGCTGCGGATGGGGACGGTGGCGACGCAATACTCGGCCGATGCTTTGTGGCATGTGCTTCGTGCGCGGCACCGCAAAAATTGGCCAAATTTGGCCCCATCTGTGATTTCCGCCTCTCTGATCTGTGCGACCTGCTGACCCGGCGCGCGAACAGAGGAGTTGCGCCCGTGCTCGGCCTGCTCCATCGTGGCTGCGGCTATGAGAAAACATCAGCCGAGTCGCAATCGCTCGCTGCCAAGCGATACCACTTCTCGGTCTGCAAGCGCCAACCCTGCCTGACTTGCGACTGCGCTCTTGGCGTTGACAGCGCCTTTCTCCATGACACCAGCCTTGGCCGAAAATCGCCTGTCGCTGCGAGCGGCGTTTTCCCATGCCGAAATGAAGTCGTGGGGGTTCCGAGATCCGGGGGTTGGAGCATTGTGTACGTACCTTTGAGCCGCGAGCGTAGTCTGAGCGCTTTTTGAGGCCGGGACAGCGCTCTTCTGGACGGTCTGAAAGAGCGCATATGGCATCTTGCCGTTGAGGTTGGTGGGAGGTTCAAAGTCGGCAGGTGCTTGGACCGGGTCGGATCTGCGTGCCGCTCCGTTGGCCGCCGGAGCCGGGCCTCTGCGTTTACTGGTGGTGGGAGGTGCAGTGGCTTCCGTCGTGACAGGATTGAGTGGCGGATAGGCCAAATCTAGAGGCAATGACGGCGGAGGGCCCATAATTTCGGTTCGCAATGCGTCTGGTCCGGATGCTGACGGTGCATCTTGGCTCGCAAGCGCCAGTGCCGCTATCGGTGGAGGCTGGACAGGTGGAGGCTGGACGGAAGCGACGGAGGTTTCGAGCGAGCTCGTAGACGGGGCAGGCGGCGGGCTGTTGGCACTGACGAGCCCGCCCGCCAAGGCGCCGTCAGGAAGAGAGGCTTCTGTTGGCGGAGCGGTCAGCGTGGGGGCTGTCGCTTGCATGTCGACGTCCGGCTCAGTCTTGACGACAGGCGACTGCTGAGTGGCGGCATTCTGGACTGCATCGGTCTGCAGAGAAGTGCTGCTCGCCGTCGGCGGATCTGCGACTGGAGCTTGTTGCATGTCTGCAGGCAACGAGGAAGGCGCGGTCTTGCGTTGCGCCTCGCGGAGGGCTGCTGCGCGCCCTTTCAAGGCAAGCTCAAGCCAGTTTGGCGGGATCGGAGGGGCAGACGTCGAGACGAGGCGCGTCGGCGTCATGGGAGTTGAAGGGCCGTCAGCGAGCACGCCCTGTTGGAGGCCAGGATGGTGTCGGTTTTCCGCGCTCTCGCGAGGTGTGTGTGGCTGCGCAGAGCTCTTGGTGATGAAGTTGCCGTCTGCCTCGCCGGAACGAGCTTGATCCGGGCTCGAGGGTCCAAGCGTATCGTGCGGAGAAGGTACAGGAGACATGCAGCTGTCGCTGTCCAGTGCTTGCCTGCCGCTGGGCGAGACGACGATCGGGACGAGATGATGGAATGCGCCGCAATGAGACTGGGCGAGCTGCCTCACTTGCGCCTAGGGTGTGCCTGCCGTCTTCCGATGCTTCCGATCCAGATTTGGGATGCGAGTCGAGTCCGATTGCGCTTCGCCGTTCCAGTCGGTCCTATGATCTGTGGGAAGCTCGCGTCAAGCCGAGAGAGGAGACGTTGGGACCTGGGCGTGGATCATGCGGCAAGGATTGATTTGGGGGTCCGTGTCCATCCGTGGTCGATCCTGGATCCTCGTGGCAGTGAGAGCTCGATGCTCTGTGAGTGTCGCGTGTGGTTGCTGACACGGACACGGCGATTCGGGCAGACGTCACGCCGAGTGAATGCCAGCTTGTTGGGACGCGCTGAGGTTGGAGTTGGTGGCAGAGGCAAGCCGTTGCTCGCTTGGCTCGGTCGCGTCTGGCTTTGTGGCCAATTTTTGGACCTCCGATGGCGAAGCCGCTCCGTCCGGGCGCGCCGCCTCGCCCACCTCGCGCTTCATCGCCTCAGCAGCCCGACGCGAAAATGAGCAGCAGTCGCCAACCCCAACAGCAACCTCCGCCTGCTCCCGCAGTTCCCGCGCGCACTTGGCGACGCGAATCTCGAGACCAAGCCGGCCCGCATCGGTGCTGCGAGCCGATGCTCGTCGTCGCTCAGATCAGTCCCATCACTACGCACACTCTAATGCCCATGCACTATCGCCGAGAATGAATGTAGACGCGATGCAAAAGAGAAACCGTTCGCTCCGTGTCAATTGCACTATGAGGTGCTGTGGCTGGTCCATCTAGAGTGACTGTCTGGATGCGCGAATCGGTCAGCGGACTGGAAGCGGCGAGAAGCGCTCCAGCTTCCTGTTGCGAGGGACAGAGAGAATGGGTTTAACGTCCCCGATGGCCGAAGCAGGATCCGCTCGTGCAAGCACCACAACGCTTTGAACGCTGGCAGCTTCAAGCTGCGAAGCTGGTGCCGACGCAGCCAGGGCTAGCAACAGTGGCGAAAGGGCAAGCCGCACGCGATGCAGTCTGGTATCCGCGCCGATGAGCTCAGCCAATGCGCCCGGCTCGCATTGGAGCAGCGATGTGAGAGAAGCTGCATCCGCGGCGGCTTGGTGGTCGGCGGCGGTAGAGACTGCTGCGCGCGATGTCGCCACGCCCTCCAGGATCTGCCGCACTAGACCGGCGAGCTCAGGACCTGCAAGTGCCGGGCCCAGCTCGACAATCGACTCGGAAAGCAGCGCGAGGATCTGCAGCATCGACGTCGAGAAGGACGATCCGGCGGAAACCGTGCGCTCGCCGGTCCCGCTAGGGCGTGTGAATACGCCCGGTATGCTTCGCTCCAGCCGAGGCCTCCAGTGTCGCTCCAACATTTTCGTGACGGGCGGCCGGAGAGCTCTCGATGCGCTCTGGTCTTGCTGCGCGTGAGCGGTGGCCAAAACCGCGATAAGCTGCATCGTCAACGACGTGGCTCGCGGTAGTCCATCTTCTGCGCCAATCGCTATGCCGTCGGATCGGTCCAGTAGGTCCGAAAGGCCAGTCTCGATGTCGCTTCGCGAAGATGCAATGAGCGAGTCAAAGCTTGCCTGGATCGCCGCGCTCGCGTCTGCAAATCGCTCGTCGCCTTCGAGCTCAGCGCGGTAGATCTTGAGCTCGCGCGACATGGCAGACAGCGGCGTCTCGTACAGGCTCGCCAGGCTTTCTACCTTGTTGGACCGGCCGCGCAGGTCGTCTTGCAACGCCGAGATGTACGAGCGGCTCGAACGGATCGGATTCGAAGGATTGTCCGCATCCAAAGGAGCTGATCGAATCGAGGATGCATTCTGTGCTTCGACCGGATGGAAAAGAGCGTCCAGAGGCATCTCGACAGCGGCAGCCCCTGCATCGGCTCCGTTCCCAAGGCTTGCAGCGTCCCGCTCCAGCGAGGTGATTGTCGCCTTGGCCTCTTTCAGCAGCGCCTGAGCAGCGCCCGAGAGCTTCTGTTGCAGCAGCTGCAGCAGTCGCGCCTGCAAGGCGGAAGCGATGTCTGCCTCGAAGTTCTGCATCTCAGTGTGCACCTTTGCGAGCGCAGATTGGCGTATCTTGTCTTCTGTCTCGTCGCCCGCTCCGAGCTTGCGCGACACGATGCGACGGGCGCGCTGCATGGCGAGGCGCAGCGACCTGCGCACCTTGGCTAGCTCGTGGACATCAGACAGCTCTGCCAGTAATGACGGCAAGCTATCCGTACCTGCGTGGTTCGATGCGCCGACGATGATTTCGCGAGCCTTGGCAGACCAAGAGGATACATCGTCCATCACTTGGCTGGGTGTGGGCATGCCGCGGGATGCAAGATCGAGAGGAGGCACATACTCCTGCAGGGACATCGGCAGGAGCCGGACGAGGACACGCGAGCTGGGCAAAGTCTGGATCACGTCTGCCGTAGAGACCCTGACCGCACGTGGCTGTGGCGGCTGCGGCAGATCGATGCCTTCGTCCGAATCGAGCCTCGGATCTGTCGAAGACGGCGGAAGGCCGTGGCTCGATTTGCGACGCAATGCGCGCATGGCGGCCGCATTCTGGCGTGGCGTACGATCGTCGGCTGACTGAGGCATCAGCGAAGCACGCTCGCTTGTAGGAGACGAGACAAGCTTGGCGGCCGGCGCGGAATGATCGGTGTCGGTGATGGCATTGAGCAAGCTGAGCAGCCAAGGCTTGGCTTCGGACGAATCGTCTGACCGCAGAGGGAGCACAGAGAGCTGGAAGACATGTTGCAGCGATCGCACGAACAGCGTTGTGAGCTCTGTGATCGTGTGAGATGCCTTGGCCACTCTGTCTCCCGCAAGGTCGCTTTCCGAGGCGTCCGTGCTTCGTGTCGACGCTGCGACTGCGCGACGGTCATCCTTGTTGTGGGAGGAAGACTTTTTCCCCTTACGTCGGCGTTGAAGCAAGCGGCGCATCGCCGTCAGTCTGTGCGACAGTAGGAGCTGCAAAGCCTGTTCCAGGCGGGTTCCGTCGATCAGGACCAGAGCAGCCAGCTGATCAGCCACAGCAGCAGACTCGATATCGATGTCCGAGAGGAGGAGAAGGGCTCGATGGATGATTTGCTTGCGCATGGGCTGCATGCTCTGCCACTGCTTCTCGATGAAAGGGAAGGTGTCCCGAACATTGACTTTGAGCATCGCCACGGCCTCCGGTACTGAGGCGATTCCCATTTCAGCATCGGGCAAGAGAGCCGACTGCGAACGGTGACGGGAGGAGGCGTCGGTCAGATCGTTCCAGGCAGCCTTTGCCAGCAAGAATGCCCAGGATGCTTGGAGCGTCTTGCCCTTCTCGATCGACTTCCAGACGTACTCTGGCACGTCCATGATGAGACGCAGAGACGCACCGAGCACGTACACTGCCTCTTGGTGCAGATCGGACGCCTCTGTATCTTTGAGCCCAGTTGGGTGCTGTGTGGGCAGAAAGCTCTTGCGCCTGGCAAGCTTGCTTGGCGTGTCGCGCTTCTCCTTGGTATCCGCCGCAAGCTGGAAGCCGTTCGAGAGGTGCTCGAGTCGCTCTGTAAGCTGCTGCGAGCTTCTGACCATGTCGATGATCGTGTTGGCTGTACCGAGCAAGTCCTGGTAGCGCTGACCTACTAGCGCCCGGAGCTCCTGCTGTTTGGTTACGGCGATGCTCCTTACGGCGCGCTCATACGCCTCGACCTCCTTGGCCGGCAACGAGCGGAAGAGCGTGTCCGGCTCCGTGCCGAATGGATCCAGGCCGGTTGTCTGGAAGATGCGGGTGGCGTCGTTCGGCACGGACGTTCGGCGAGGAAGTGCGTCCATGGAGAAAGGGGCATCGGTGCTGGTGATGCCTGAGCTGGATGTGAGCGAGGCATTGGTACGAGCATGCCTTGCGCGCCCGTGCCTCGACGGTGTGCTGGGCGAAGATGCTGCTCCCGCTGTTGACTCGACGCCGTTCGCGGGGCCAGAGGCGCCCTGCTGAGTGTCGACGGTCATGGACGCCTGCACCACGCTTGCGCCTCTCTGGACCGAGTGCGGGGTATGGTCGGTCCAAGTGGATCAGGCGGCTCGCATACACCCGGCTCCTTCACGAGAGCGAGCTGGCTGTCTGGTGTGTGTCGTGGGCGGGCGGGTGGAAGTGAGAATGATGGTGGAAGGTTGGGAGCGAGTGTGGAATTGACCTTGTGCTTGTCCGTGCGTGACGGACTGGACTCGGTTCCGACCAGTGTGGACCCTGGGAGATTTGTGCACTTGGCAAGACGCGTCGAAGGGGAGAAGTGCATCTTTCTGCGGCTTGCTGCCTCCACTTTCGGCTTCTTTTCTCGACTTTGGCCCTCCTGCCTCGCAACCATCAGTCGATCGACGCAGACAGCACCGCCATGTCGACGCCAGGCAAGGACACGGGCGCTGTGGTGATGGAGACGTCCATGGGCAGGATCGTCTTCGAGCTCTACTGGAAGCACGCGCCCAAGACGTGCGCAAACTTCTACCAGCTGGCCAAGCAGGGTTTCTACGACGGCATCATCTTCCACCGTGTCATCAGCGACTTTATGATCCAGACGGGCGATCCCACCGGTACGGGCTCCGGTGGTGCATCGATCTACGGTGGTGCTTTTGAGGACGAGCTGCATCCCGAGCTTCGCTTCGTCGGTGCGGGGATCCTCGCCATGGCCAACGCAGGTGCCAACACCAACCGAAGCCAGTTCTTCGTCACGCTGGCGCCGACGCCGTTCCTCGATGGCAAGCACACCATCTTCGGTCGCGTCGCCGAGGGCTTGCAGGCAGTTCGAGAGATCGGAGTGGCAGAAACAAAGGACGACAGGTACGTTGACGAGCTTTTCCATCTGCTTCTTAGTGATACGGTGATTTCTGACCTCGTTCTCTTTGCGAAACTCTCTGTTCCTCTAAAATGTAGGCCCGTCGAGGAGATCAAGATCGTCAGAGCAACAGTCACCTACGCCGATTGAGCGAGTGTTTCTCGGCACAGCAAGATGTCGACCGCATTCACAAATTGGCAAACAATTCCGGCCTCAATTTTGTGCTCGATTTATCCCCAATAAAACCATACCCGCCTAAGTTGGCTTGAACGATGTTTGGCCGAGCCCAGAATGAAGCACGCCCGAACAGGTGACTTCCGTCACGATGCCCGGCACAGAGGCACAACTCGGCAAGACGCAGCGAAGAACAGTCTTCGATGGACCTCTCATCAGATCGGGCACGCGCAAAACACACAAAAGGACAGGTTGGTATGATGCCTGAGGTTGCGAAGCTGGCGGAGCCCTGTTCTGACCGCCGAGCCCATGGTGGTAGTAGTAGTACAAGGATGAACAACAAGAAAAAGAAAACAAGAAGACAAGACTACGGGTAGAGGAGGAGTAGGGAAGAGTAAAGATAGCCGGGCAGGCGGACTGCCGTCTCTATCCGAACAATCCTAGACGACGGCCGAGGGTAGCTGGACCGAAGTCGATGGGTGAAGGTGGTGATACAGTGGAAAGGCGGGACACGAGAAGCGCGACGGCACGGGGCCGAGACGCTTAGATGTCCTGCGAGCCACCAGCCTTCTTGGGCTTGCCCGACTTGGCGGGGAGGAGCTCCGACTGGATGAAGGGGAGGACACCACCCTGGGAGATGGTGACACCGCCGAGCAGCTTGTTGAGCTCCTCGTCGTTGCGGATGGCGAGCTGAAGGTGACGGGGAATGATACGCGACTTCTTGTTGTCACGGGCGGCGTTACCAGCGAGCTCGAGGATCTCGGCAGCCAGGTACTCGAGAACGGCAGCGAGGTAGACTATTGGAGTGCGACGTACAAAGTAGTTTTCGGAAATGTCAGCGAGGTGGTTCGGATGGAAACGAGAAGGACGCTTCAAAGAGCACTTACCAGGGGCACCGGCACCGACACGCTGAGCGTAGTTGCCCTTGCGCAAGAGACGGTGGATACGGCCGACGGGGAACTGAAGACCGGCCTTGGCCGAACGCGACTGGGCCTTGGTCGAGGCGTCACCAGCCTTGCCACCAGACTTGCCACCGGAAGACATTGTTGCTAAGTTTGTATGAGGGGAGGGGTTGAGAAGGGGTGGTTGGGTTGCGTTGGTCGTAAGACTTGAGGGCGGAATGCGGGATGGGGAGAGAGAGAAAAGGAGAGGGGAGCCCGGGAGAGGATGCCGATTCTGGCTGAGGGTTATATCGTCTTTCGGAGGTCGGGACGCGCAGGCAGTTGTCGCCAGCCTGCATCCCGCACTACGCAAAGCCGCACCACCAGCGGCTAAGCCAGCCAGGTGTTGGGAAAGCCCAGTGCGCGACGCGACTGGTGCTGCACCTGCACCTGCCATCTGCACCGACGCAGCAGTGTTGCAATGCGAAATCCTCGGTCGCCGTAGCCGCACCCTTGATTTTTCGAAAATTGGCGCCAGGTCCGCTGAGCCCAGTCGCGACGGTCGAGCACTGGAGCGCAGGGATGCCGTCATGCTCAGCCGTGGGGGCATCCAACGCTGATCCACGCCCGGAATATTTTGTCGAAATTCCACATTCTCTGTTTTGGAGGCTTCGTTTTGTTTGACGGACTTGGTGCCAAATCAAATACAGCCTTCGAAGGCTCGAATGATTATCACCTCGGCATGCTTCGACATGGCCCGTGAACTTGATTGTGCTACTCCCCCCCCCC